TATGTTGGCCTTGGCTCTCCCTGACGTTACACCTCGGTCTGAACCCACATCCCATCACCAGTATTAAATAAACCTTTTAAAATTACCATCTTGGCTCCTCCTTCTCTATCCACATTTATGTTCGTCCCTTCAACCCCCTAGACTAGCCAGGGGACGTAACAATGCCACCAACTATATACTTCTAAACACAAATGATTACATGCAGTATTCTACCATATGCAAACTTATATAATTAAAAGACTATACTGACTACTAAGTACAATTTTCCACTGACATAGTTCCAAATCACCACAACAGTTGCCTTAGGACCCTTTATATTGTAAAGACCCTACGCTATTACAAAGAAAATGGAGAAAACCTCAACAATCATATGACAGTGATTTGGCAACAGCGGGAAGAAGAAAACAGAAATAGAAAAATATATCTATATCAATATTTTATTAAAAAAAAGACTGATTCTGTCATAGTTATAGAATCCTCAAACAAATTTATAAGGTATTAATATGCAAGACTGTCAAGAGATGTATTCTAAAACACTTCTTGAGCTGAGCAAAGTTCAAAGTTAGCATATAAATGTCCCAGGAAGCCATTTCTGCTGATTTTTAAAAGATGTGGTCTAATACAAACTACTCTATTAGTCTGTTCCCTAAAATGATCGTTTTAATGATAAAAAAGAATAATCAGAATAAAATAAGGTAATGTTTCTCCTTGTGATTGTTGACAAACAAGACTCATAATAATCGGGGCTCTAACAAACCATCAAAAATCAGTAGATGTTTTCTCTACCTTAGCAGCTACTTATAGGTCATTTTCCATAATCTACAATTATGGAAAATGATTGTGTAGATTAAGATTACACAATAAAACTTTGCTTTATCTGAAGTGTTTACAGCTTTGGTGTTTGGTTTTTAATTTTTTCACCTGAGTAAATTCAGTCCAACATCACATCCTTGAGCTTTCTTTGCTGGTGTTTCCGGCTTTGAAAATTGTTTTGTTTTTCAACTTTTCTGTTAGTAAATTTTGATCATGTGCAAGATATCAGTGCTGTATGTTGGGGGCTGAAAACAATAAAACAATAGATGCACATATTACTAATATGGCAATAGATATATTAATACTTGACTACTATAATTTTTCTCCACAGTTTAGAACATGGTGGAAGTCACCGGAACAAACCAGGGTTCAAGAAATGTGAGTATCTGTGTAAATCTGAAGTGCTGAATGTTGTAATGTCTAAATCTTACGGTTTGTTCTTTAGGAGTCATTGACAGTGTTACACAAGGTATTTATTTGTTGAGCAGATTCTACAGGTTAACTGTCACATACAGATTTTTGTTTTTGTGCTTCTAGAGAACAGCTCCCTCAGTCTCTGACTTATTTCCCTGGAGCCATGTACTTAGTGCTGCCAACAGTGGACATAAACTGTATTTACTGATTCTATAAGTGTTTTCTTACCTCCAGATGCCTGTGCGCTCACTTTGGACTCCAACACAGCTCACAAGAACCTGCTGCTCTCTGAAGGGAACAGAAAGGTGACCTGGGTGGAGGAGGAGCAGCCATATCCTGATCATACAGAGAGGTTTGATTGCTGTCAGCAGGTTCTGTGTAAACAGAGACTAAAAGGACGCTGTTACTTTGAGTTGGAGGTGTCAGAGCCCTTCTGTGTTGGGTTAACATACAGAAACATTGGCAGGAAAGGGGATGTTGATGATTGCAAGCTGGGACACAATGACAAGTCGTGGTGTCTGATTTCTGCTGATGAGGGGTTTTTTGTTCAGCACAACAAAGAGAAGGTCCATGTAACTCCTCAGGCCTTGCGCTCCAGTCGTGTCGGGGTGTATCTGGATTCGGAGGCCAAAAGTTTGTCCTTTTACAGAGTTTCCTCTGACAGTATCATCCGCATTCACACCTTCAAAACAACCTTCACTGATGTTCTCTACCCTGCTGTTGCTCTCCACGCACATTCATCTGTATTGTTTTGTCAGCTAACATAGAAACATCTCTCACTGCAGGCAGGTTAACAGCCAAACGAGTAGATTTTCACAGAAATGGGAGCAATTACTATCTATGACTAAACCTTAGTTAGTGAGTCCGGTCTAAACATTGCTCCCAGTAATCATTTCTTTTCAACAGGAGAAAAGTAGATAGAGAAAGACCTGAAATCTAGAGGCAAATAAAGAGGACCACACCAGCTTAATGTAGGCCTGCTGAACCAGAACATGGAGCCTAAAGCCGAATTTAAACCACCAAAACTATTCTGTATTTAAATAACCATTTTCAGAAACAGAAGCCCAAAACTTTCTTTTTAAAACTAAAGTCCATTTTCCCCACACACCCACATAATTAAGCTAATTAATTATTTGATACTTAATTTCTAGGTGAAACCTACACATTAGCAGGATCACTGTTTGCTTTTATATTTATATGCTGATGTATCTGGTCTGTACCTTTTCCCAGGAACCAACAAACTCTGAGTTTAAAAATAAACTCTGAGTTCCCTTTTCCACAACAACCGATCCAAGTTCAATCAACTCTGAGTATGTTCAGTCTGTTTTAAGCATGTAAAGAAAGAAAGCCTTCTCATGCTACAACTCACCATGGCAACAAGTAATAATTATTCAGTACAAAAAAACATGTATGTAGTAATGGAATGTAATAACCTCACTTTCATTATTTCTGCCATTACTGAATATAAATGCTTAATATTTAATATTTCCGAGTTTACACTTTTAATATTTGAGGAAAGCTGTGCAAGGATGCAGCATTTTAAATATAGATCTCAGTTCATGCTGGAAAAATTAGGCCATTGTGAATGAAAAATTATTGGAAGGAAACTGATAGTCTGACTGCATTGTTGTTCACAGAGTCACAGAATTAGAAAGATGAAGACTAGAGACTTTTATTCTGAGCTGATAATAAATCGTTACATATAACATTGTAAATATGTTTTAAGTAAGTGATGTTAGGTATACAGAGGAAAAGTAATGTGCAGTGATATCAGTGTTTGTAAAAATGTAAACTTATCAAAATGAAGGAATGAATGAGAGTTTCAGTCAGTTGGTTTGGGCGCAACGTGAGGAATGGGGAGAGAAAACCTGCCAACAAGCAGGTTTAGGATTTTGGTGTTGGAACTCAGCTCCTTTTACTGAAATGCAGTGCTTTGCTTTGCTAATCCTTGTACTTCAATAACACATAATATGCATAATACCACAAACAAACCTGTCATGGTGTTTCAGGTATGCACTGCAGTGACATTATACATGTGTGTTTGCTTGGATTTTACCAACACATCTGTGTTTTTGTAGTTTTTGTAGTTCAACTCTCAGCTCTGCACCTTTGTCATCCAGTTTTATTGTAAAAGGTATCATTTGTAAATTGTTTCCTATATTATGAGACAATGTTGACATGGACGTTAGTCCTGTCTTTGAAGTTTGAGTTTTTTTTATTATATATAGATGTAAACTACCATGTAAGTACCTCTTTAGGTTGATAAAGTTGAGCTGTAAGAAGAGGTTTGTGTTGGCAGATTTTTGTCTGTTGTCGGGATCAAATCAAGGATATTTAGGCGTAAACCAAATGTGCGGTGATGACGACAGAAAAGTGAAACTGCATATATGGAGGGGAGACAGACAGACAGAGACAGCAGGCAGTTTACTTCCCACTTATTCTGTCTTTTACTTCATTATTGTTAACAATAACATTTATTTGGCTATTTTAATGTGTACACCTTTAATGGGAATTGTAAGCTAAGACTTTTATATGGTTTTGTTTGGGGGGGGGTTGTTAAAGAAACTGGTCAGCAGTTTTTGTTGGGAACACACAACACCAGAAAATGTGTGTTAAGACTTCACACTGATAAAAATAGTAAAGTAAGAACAACGCCTTGTTGAAATGGGGAAAAAGGGAGGGGGTCTAATGGGAAGAGTTTCTTAGAACAGCCCTGTAAAAATAGACACATTATATGACTGAATATATTTAGCTTAGCACATTAACAAAAGCCATTAGAAGTTGATGCTGACTGAGTAATTATTGTCTATTATTATCCAATTAAGCAAAAGTAAACAACAGTTGGAAGTAAAACCAAGTCAACAAACTTGAAATATAAGGCTCAGACCAAAAGTTATAAAAATGGCAGCAGCAAAATAAATCCAGGAGGTGTTTTCTGTGGTTGATTATGAATATCTCTCCAAAAAGCTTCTCCTAAAATAAAAATTTTAACCATTAAATACCAAGGTGTTCTTATCCAATGACCCATGCTGCTGAAATGATTATTCATGAATTCATCCTTTGCTTTGTCCACCAACAGTATTTTGTGTGATTTCTGTGTTTGTAACTATTTTAGAAGTTCACTTTAAAGTTTGTTGTTGCATTTTTTGTTTAGAGATGCACTGTTTTCCACTGCATGTGTTACATCATTAACTATGTTTAACGGTATATCGTCTATATGCACGTCCGCAAAAACAAGAAATGTCTCCTAAGCACTTTTTTATCTACTTCAGCAGTGTTTGAAATTCGCATCTTGTGGTCAAAAATAAATCCTTTCCTAATGAGATGTGATATATTAACAGCAAATAAGATCCAGGTTTCAGCACTTTAAAAGCAGCATGTGAGTGCGGATTTGATAGTTCAAGCTACTCTCTCAGCCTGAAGTAAAAGTGGAACAAGCAGCGAGGTGACGTACTCTTTATGAGGAAGGAACACTTTGGCAGCATTCTGTTGCAATGGATTACTCCGACCACTCAGGCCTGCAGAAAAAATAAATTATTATAAAAAGAGATTATTGACAAAGCAGTGAAAGGTAAAATTTCATAAAGTTAATGAGGACTTCTCCAAATGTGAACACACTATCCTTTCCCCCACCCACATCAATTATATTTGTATGTTTTATGATCTGCTTGCTGTGAGCTTCTGCTGCTCTGTGTAGATTCAGCTGAGATCGGTTTAGGAGAGAAAAGCCACATGATATGAAATGAAAGTGTCTCTTTCTTTGTTATTATTAAAAGTATGTAAGATAAATATTTTTCCACATTACCTGCTGTATTTTTTTTTTTTACTGTGTGCATTTCTTGTAGCAGTTAAAAATAAATCATTAGATTCCTAAAACGTGTCTTGATAAGAAGTGAGTTTATCCTGTATCCACTAAAAAGCTGCATTCATTACTTTCTGTGTCAGCTTTAATTATATGAAAAAACAGTAATCACACAGAAGAGTTACATATCTGGCTTTAAGATATTCTTTTTTTAATTACACTGCAAATTTCAAAGTTTTATTTATGCCTGACAGAGTGACATTTTCAGTTTATGTCATCACTGCACCATCTTGTGTTACAAGTTGGTATTACACAAAACGGACTCCAGCGTGCCACTAGTTTAGCTTCAGTTCTTTCAACACAGAATAGATGTTTTGGTTAATTCCATACACTGTGCTGCTGACTGCTTTGGTTATTTAATTCAATTTAAACACAAGGAATTACAGCAAGTATCTTTAGAAAATTACTTGTACTACAAAGGCCCACACATCCAGGGGCGGAGCTAGAGACATTTTCTTAGGGTGGCAAAGCAATCAAATGGGGTGGCAAAATCAAAGCCTTTTTTTTCCAAACACACATGCAGGTGGTTACATATGGTTAAAATGATTCAAATGCAGTAAGTATACATGTTTTTCATGTAAATATAGTCTATAACTTAATTATTGGCTGTAGCCCACATACTTAAACACTTTAGTTACATAAAACATATGAGTTTTGATGTTATGTACTGTATAGCCTGTATAATAAATAAATATGTAGCCTAATAAGTAAAATCCAGAAAGCTACACAACAATGGGCGGTTCGTTTACAAACACAAGTCTAACAATCACATTGTTACAGCTTAAATTACACAAAATGTCAGAAATCTGCACTGTCATGAACAAAAGATTTAAACCTAATTTTTCATGATTTGTTGGATTAACCCACTGAGGTCTGAAATACAACCGGCCACTTTTGACTCCTTTTGAGTTTACGTTTGTATTTCACCCAGGGGCGATTTTAGCCCAGTTTTGGGGGTGCTTCAGCATTTTTGCTTCAGCACCCCCAAAAATGAATCAAAGCACCCCCAAAGATTTCTTTTTTTTTTTTTTGACAATATTTGCAGTTTGTGTTACACACTGCTAAAAATATAAAAAGCATACGGTACTTTGTTGAGATGTAATATTTTAACAACAAAAGTATAGATTCCCCCTCCAAAATGGTTTGTTCCAGCTCGCCTCTTACCAACTCTCTAGCGCCCTTTCTGCTAGAGCGATGGTGGCTGAGACACAGCGGAGCGGAGGTGTAAGTGCCTGGCTTAAAACGGGGAGAGAGGAAAGAGGGAACTTGAGGAGAAAGTACAAGGTCAGGAAGAACCAGGTAAGAAAACAGGGAACAGTGACAGGCACAACAGAAACTGTTAAACTGACAAAGAGGAAAAACCTGATTTTACTCACACAGTCAGGAAGTTGTGTCCTCCCTATATTAAAGCTGCTTTACAGAATCTGCAAAACCAGCTGGGTTGAAACATTTTGACCCTCTTTAACAACATTCCAACATAACATTATAATGGATCGGGGAGATTAAAATTAATGATATATTTTTATGTGGTTCAGCCACAACTCTACTGAAACCTCAGCCACTAATAGGTAGGACAACATTTGGACCGTCCACTTGTCTGTATGACTGCTGCAGTACGTACATCACATTTTCACACTATCAGAAAGTGCCAAACAGCCCTGGTGGAGCGAGGAGCTGTAAAGAGAAGCAGATGCTCTGTTTATATTCTAAAAATGTTTTAATCTTGTTTCAAAGATTCTGTACAGCAGCTTTAAATGTTTTCCAAAAGCACACATACACTTATCAGTGTCTCTCAAACTTTTTACAGTGTGTACCACCTGATAAAATGTCAAGCTCTCCAAGTACCACTATGAAAGCATGAAACTTGTAAATCTTACAACACAAAATTAGTCTTATTAGATTAGTAAAATTTGTGTCTGCAGTAAAGATTTTTATTTGTAATAATTTATTCTGTTTTGGGAGTGTTTTTCATGTATCTGTATTATACACACACATTAAAAGTGAATCTCTGTTTACTCAGTTTACTTTTTTACTCACTATGAGCATCACTCATTATTCTCCCCCAGTAATTAAGGTTAGGATATGTATTTTTTTTTATTTCAATCCATTTTTTTTTGCAGCATTTAAATAACCTTGATCAGATTTGATGGTTTTGTTTCAGACTTTTCAAAAAGTGTTTTGCTTTTCTTTCACAAATGTGGGGATTCAATTGTGTTAAAATGTACAAAACAGTGATGTCATGTTTTGTGACGAGGACCCAGGCACAGAGAGACTTGATGAATTTAAGAATCTTATGATTTAATAAAGAAATTTGTAGACTTGCACAGAGATGGTAAAATTATGATGACTGATAACGGAGACAAGGACAACAGACGATGAGGACAGGGAGGAACAGGGCTTTAAATGCACCAAAGTGACAGTCAGAGAGAACTCGGGACAACTGGAGGACATTTAAGGATGCAGGGACTGACAGAGACAGGGAAGACGTCTCATTGTGACGAGTAAAGTTTATCATACCTGGCTGGGCAGCTCTCTGGGTGCTCAGCACCCCCAAAGCTCTGATCCTAGAATCGCCCCTGGTCTGTGCTTAATATTTGACTGTTTAACAGGAAGATAGGAAAGAAACATCGGTTAAATTGATCAAAAATACACCACAAAGAGGTTGCTGCAGAGACCAGAGAATTCAAAATCGAGCTAAATGCTTGTTTTGACACACATTTTGTTCATTTGACTTTTAATTTTACACGGATTTTAAAACTTTAAAAAACAGCAACTTAATGTTGTGCATATACATGAGCAGTATGTTTGCGTTTCTCATCATCAACAAAAATTATCTGTGCTTACCGCTGTTGAGGTTATTACTCAAGAAAGGTGATATATTACACAGAACACCTTTCTTAGAAGTAATGCAGTAGTTTACTAAAAGTTAATTTGTTACATTATTCATTATGTTACTTTCATGTTACTCTGAAAAATGACCTGAAACAAATTCTCTCATAATTACTTTTTGACAATATAAACCTAAAGGCTTCAGCCCCACATCCATCGCTGGTCCTTACAGAGAACAAAATGGTATTTGTATAGCGCTTTTTACTAGTCCCCCCCTAGGGACTCCAAGGCGCTTTACACACCCAGTCATCCACCCATTCACACACTGGTGGAGGCAAGCTAGAGTTGTAGCCACAGCTGCCCTCGGGCAGACTGACAGAAGCGAGCCTGCCATATCGCACCATCGCCCCTTCTGGCCAACACCAGTAGGCGGTAGGTGAAGTGTCTTGCCCAAGGACACAACGACCGAGGCTGTCCGAGCCGGGGCTCGAACCGGCAACCTTCCGATTACAAGGAGAACTCCCAACTCTTGAGCCACAATCGCCCCACAAAAGACATCCTTCCCAGTGTTTCTGTGTTGACTGAATGCTTAACCTCAACAGCTAATAATAAACTCAGATGTTGAAAGTTTAACAGTGTACGATCTCTGATTGGCTTCCATATGTGCACAGTTTATAGCAGGTGTCGTGCAAGTTAGTGACATTTTACTCAACCAGATGGAGTTAATGAACTGCTGAAGGTTGCTACAGCTGAAGTTGAAGTTAAAGGACTAAATAAAGCGCTATACAAATACAGGCCATTTACCATTTAAAATTGCAGAATGAGAGACTTGAAGAGTCAACTAATTATAGTTATTACAGGGTTTTGGGTTATTTTACATTTCTGATTTTTGAGATTATACACAGCAAATCCAGCATGTCCAAATTAACACTGTCGGATTTGATTTCAACACTATTAAAGTGTCTATATGGGTCCACACCAGAGAGTGTTAATTTAACT